TTGGACTGTCTTTTAATATCTATTTCCTTGTCACAAAGGATACCTCCTTTTAGAAATGCTAGTGTCCGTTTTTGCTGGATCAGAATAAACCAGCATCACTTCAGGATTAACAATGAAAGTGTAGCTCACTAACCAGGACTTAAAATAATACATTTTCCTGGCTAACATAGACTCATAAACGGTTGCACACAGAGTGAACTACTTACGCTAAGGTAGGACAATTTCAGAATTAATAAGAAAAACTATAGTCTTTTTAATGATATGGTAGTACCATCTGTAAAATATCAGTTCAAGCCAGGCTTAAATAACGGTATCATCTCATACCTGTGTAGTATTTTACAATATTTGGCCCTAATTCTGTCAAATTTTCTTATAACCTCTTCACTAGATTTTGATGTTATGAAAAACTAGCAGACAAATGTCTCACAGAACTCTCCATGGACACACTACAATTAAAGTTTCCAAGTCAACCCACTTGTAAAACAGAAAAGAATTTTCCTCTCATTGAATACAGGTATATAAATTTAGGGCCAACAGTGAATTGCCACAGGTACCAGATCAGCCATTTCTTGCCCTTTAATTTCATGAAAATTTAAACACAGCCTGGTAGTGGAATGTAATTTTAAAATCTGTCTTGGTAATTAATAAACTGAACAAATATAGATAATAGAATCTACACATATTCTATAAAAACTAAGAAAATTGTACTTCATTGTGGTCATACATTATCAGAATAGCTTGTTTCTTGCATAAATGAACAAGTGTTTTATTTTACTTTATTAAAGAACAAGTAATAACACTTAGAGATTACAATAATGAAACTTATCCAGTATTTTCACAAGGAACCTCAAATCCCCCAGGTGATCAGTCTGTGTTTGCCCTCTATCTCATGCATGAGGCAGAAGAATTAGAATCTCTCCTAATTGTTGTGTTGGAGATGATCCTTCCTCACGATCTAAGTTGGATCACCAACTCTTATATATGTAGGACACATAGAAAAATATATTTTTTTGTCCTGGTTTTTCCTCCTCTGGATACTTGGTACATGATCTAACTTTAAAATCTTCTTTTTGTGACTATGGTGGAGGACTGTGTGTGCTTTGATGGTGGGTGTGATGTGGTGACATATATATGAAGAAGTGTGAACCTATTCCTCAAAATATGCTACAGTTTTGAAAACTGTTACCACAATAACATAAATATTATATAAATAAAATAAAATTAAAATCTTCCATTTGTACCTCCAGTTTCCAACAATTGGAAGGGTGGGGGAAATGCAGTGTTATAGTCCTTTAGCAAATCGATAATTTTGGACTATTATCTTTTGTTATCAGTTGATGTCATTTTTTATGTAATGCTCTAAAAGACCTCCTTGGCAATGACATCCAAATGCCTGTCTATGCTGCCAATCTCAATGTTTGTGGCTCAATGTTTGTTCTACCTTGTGCTATCATCTTATATCTGCAATCCTGTCTCTGCCATCTGATTGTGTGTGCTATCACATGCATAAAATTTGACCTGGTGTTAGCAGAGATTATCATTTGTTTCCCACTCATGTCCTTTCAAGCACACTGAGAAGACCATCAACTATACTAACTCTGCTGCATTTTATTAATAAATATGATCACCTTAAAATTATGTTTATTTTTTTCCATTAGAGAAAATATTGTATCCCCCTAACCTCCAGAAGGTGTATGTTCCCTCCTCAGAGGGCTTGGAGTGGGCTTTGAGTGTGTGCATGTTAAATAATGACTGGGAGCGAGTGGGGGGAGCATCTGTCAAGGGAACAGATCAATCGATCAATTGAAATGTCATTTCTCTCTACTTGCTGTAGGATGTTGCCATGTCTCTTTTCTGCCTCCCTCTTTTTTTTTTTTATTCTCTTGTATTTTGATTTAGATATAAAAGCTGAGATGTAATTTAAACTGACAGCAGAATCAAACAGTGTGACCTTGCCAGGATTGTTTCAGGCCTTCAGCACAATCCACTGGGGGTAAAGCGTGGGCAGAGGGAGGGGTGCATGTGAGCCAATGAGAGAGGAAAGAGCCAGCCTCTCCAGATGGCCCTGCTGCTCACGTGTTCCTAGAGGGTTGGCTCGGATCTGGATGTTTCCAAACTTGTCTGACAGAATAAAAACTGAAGTGAGAAGGGAAGAGAAAAGAAAATAGAGCAGGAGCAAATGGCAAGGATGTGGGCAACAGAGAGGTGGTGATAATATAAGGTCTTGGCTGTGGCTGGGTCAGAAGTTGAATGACTGGTATTTAATGTTTTCGAACTTAATGGTGCCCAGATAGGGAGAAATAGCTAGTGTCCACCTTGGTAACAAGTTAACTAGCTAAACACTGCCTTGCCAGATGACAGATACTGAAAAGATGGCTGGCAGGAGGGCATTTAAGACTTACACTCACAACAGACCCCCAAAAGGTGACTGAGCAATAGATGCAATTTGTGTTTCCAGGGGAAGGATAGGTAACCTAATAGCTGTGTTTGAGATGACTAAATATGTAGAATACTGCTTTTGACTTTCTAAAAAATAACTTAGAGTGCCAGCATTTTAATTGGTGGCATTGATAGCCTTTGTCCCCATCCAGCATACAAGTGTCTACCTCTAGAATTTCTCTTTCCAGGGATCAGGGACTTGAAAAGTCAAATCAGCAGGCATTTGCATTGAAGAATCTTCACTTCTGCCAGGCCCTCAGTAGCCTGTTGAATCACCTGCCTCAGAGTAGAGAGCAACTTTCCTTAACTCAGAAAATTATGGGAAAATCTGATTACATGCCTTTCAGTAGAAACTACATCCCCAAAATGGAAAGTAATAAAATGCAGGCTAGTGAAATGTTTTTCAGCAGAAACAGCAGTAGAAAGCTGAAAAAGAATTAGAAATGAGTCTGACATGGAAGAAAGGTCTAGAATGCATTCGTATCCTGACCAGATTTCATATTGGACATGAGAGCAATAAAGGTAATAGTGACACAAACCACAAAAACAGCTAGTACTTAATGAGTGCTTGCTTTGTGCCTGGCATTGTTTTATGTGCTCCATGTGGCATTTCATTTAACCTTCACAGCAACATTGTCAGACAGTTGCTTTGAAGGTGGCAGAGTCAACATTGGACCATGTGGTTTGTCTCCAGAACTTTATCACTTTATCCTGGAAGAGACCATCCCCTGTCAACTAGCTCATACCTTTCACGAGCCCTGACTTTGACTTTGAAGGTAACACAGACATTGTTCTGGTCCTTTGGAAAACATAAATACAAAGTAAGACTAAAACTGAAACGCAAGCATGTGAAAAGATGCTTACCTCAGTTTTTCTTTAGAATGAGATGAAATATAAATTATTAAGATCCCTCAAAAATAATTGAAAATAATAGACTTGTGACCTGAATGATGCTTGCTGGAAATCATAATATGAAAAGAAAATGATGCCAAGAATCCACGAAGGAGGGGTAAAACTGAGTTGAGTCTGAAGGATAACATAGGACCTGAGCAGAAGAAAGAGAATGTGTTGCAAGCAGCAGATGTGCTGTGAACACTGAAGTGAGAGAAGCCTATTACAGCTGAGGGGCAGGGGTTGGTTGGTGAGGTAAAATGAGGATGAGGGCTGGCGGGGAATAAAGTGCTACAGAGTCAGGTTAGGAAAGCCATAGGCAGTCTGAGGGACAGTGAGCACAGCTCCCTAATGTGGAAGCAAAACTCTTGTAGATTTCTTAGCAAATGGGTTACATAGATGGCAAATAGAGTCACAAGAAACATTTGTCATACCAAGCTGATGGAATGGAGATTTGAGAGGTAGAAAGCAGGATGCCATCTTGGGTGCTCTTTGCAGTCTTGGTAGAAGAGAAGAAATATGACTTGTGGGCTATTTGACTAATAGGGCAGAAGAAAAGTTTGGAACCTGTCATGAACCTAAATTCTCCCTTCTGTTCATCCCTCTCTCCTGCTCCATAATACAGTGGCTTTGTAAAAAGTAACTTGTGTCTTAGAATCTAATAAGGTCTCCATGGGGTCACAGAAATCCAGCATCCTCAACCCCTAAAATTTTGCAGCCCTCAGTTTATTGCCAAGCAAAACACCTAGCTACACTTTAGTTAAGTGACAAATGAGGCATTTTATCTATAAGCTCTTCAACTTCTACCTCCATTGTCCAAGTCTGCCGTAGTATGTCATTCAGACTGTGAATTTCTAGTCTCATTTATTATTATTATTTCTACTCCTCCCCTTTTCTTTTATTACCATCTCTCCAAAGTTTATCTCTCTTGAGGGATTAAGTCTTAAGAAGGACTTAAATCTTCATGTTAGGTGCTTCGTCATCTCTCTAGAGTCATGTGAAATTAAAGATAGAGAGAAGATTGTTAGTGGCAAATTGGTGCAAAAAAATTGTATTAATAGTAGTAGAGTATAGCACCTAGTCTATACTTGTAACAAAAGTAACCTCTAAATAGCAAGCATAAAGTCTGCAAGATGAAGCTTTAACATCTGAACACTCAGCTTTTGCAATGAAAGACAGATGCCAACAGAGCTTGTGTTGCACAAACAGAAATAAATCTGCCTTGCCTCTTTAACAGTCAGTTTGCATGTCTGAGAAATAATATATGGGCTTCCCCTGCTCATAGCTCCAGAAGTGGGACTGGGAGGAGGTCCAGGGTTGAAAGGTGCTAGTTTCAGGCTTGTAAACACACCTTTCAGTTGAAAAGAGCTATCGTGTGTATAGCACACCCCTCCCCAATTCTGCAAGCTGAGCCTCATCTGTCAGCCAACTGGAATTAACACATCATTTCACTCCACCTAGTTTCCTTGACTTGGCAGTTTTTCTGATGGCCTTGTGATCATAGACCATATTCTGTCTTTTGCTGATACAGGGACCTGGAAAATGAGAGGATTGGAAAAGCAGAAGACTGTTCTAGAGAACCCAAAACAGAGCTGTCCCTGATGTCAGATTTTTGTTGTTACAGTAGAAAATGAGTATCTCTCTCCCCATTCCTCAGCAGATATACTTACATTCTGCCTCTTCAGCCCCCCTGTTCTGACTCTTTAACCTTGTTCAACAGAAGCAGTCCTTTTATACATCTATGTGTCCACAAGTAGCCTGGGGACCTTCCTGTTTAGTGTAGCTATGTAATTTCTGTTTGAAGAAGAAAAAAAAAAAAACAATACTGTTTTATGGCCAACTTCAACAACATATTTTCCGGAGGACAAGGCCCTTGGAAAGACGTATTTCCTCAATTTCAGCTCTTTAGAAACCTTTTCTAGCTTCACTTTGTCACCACGGGCTTCTCTTACCTAATCCTTTTAGGAAATCTTGGAAGTACAAAGGAAATATGCCAATTGTGAACATCCCTTTAAACATTTTTTAAATTAATTTCTATTGCAGTAAAAGTTGTATATGACGTTATATAAGTTTTGGGCACTTAGCATTATAATTCTACATTTGTAAATACCACATCATGGTCATCTCCAAAATTTCAATACACGGCTGCCTTCACTAACTCAATCTAGTATCTGCTGTGCTTTCCTTACAGTAACAATTATTTGTCAATACTTATAAAATAAAAGAAAGCATCTGAGATTTTATAATTTTTTTAACTTTAAAGTTTTCTTGGCCTAGTAGTTAAGTCTCAGTGCTATCACTTGTATTCCCTGAGTTTGATCCCCAGCCAGGGAGACAACTCATATACGGTGCAACAGACCTCTCCTGTCTCACCAACTCCTCCCCTTAGTGGTGTATTTCCATGAATTTGCCTGTTCTGCTCCCCATTCTGTCCCTGGTGAACTTCTCAACCCTCCTCCACACCTCTGGACTATACCCTAGTTCTTCTACACAAAAATTTAAAAAATAAGTAAATAAAAAATAGTTTTCTTAACTCTCACCAAAACTTTATTATTTTTGGCCTGTGGGACACTAGCCATTCTCAAAGGTGTGAGGTGGTATCTTAGTGTGTCTGTGCACTGCTAGGGGAATGTGGGCAGGTCCAGCCCCTATGGGAACAGTATGAGGTTCCTTAAAATAATAAAAATAAATCTACCATATGATTCAGCAATTCTACACCTAAGTATCTACCCAAAGAATGCAAAAGGCACTATTTTGAAAAGATAGTGCACACCTATGTTCATTGAATCATTATTTACTTTGCTAAGTGATGAAAACAATCTAAGCACCGAAGAACAGCAAATTGGATTAAGATGTGTTATATATACTCAATGGAATACTACTCAGCTGTTACAAAAGATGAAATCTTGGCATTTGAGATCACTTGGATAAAGCTGAGGGGATTATACTAAGCAAAATAAGTCAGAATGAGAAGACAAATACTAGATAATTTCACTCATATTTGAAACATATAGAAATAAAATGAAATGAAAAGGAATAGACAAAACTAAGTGAAAACAAACCCTGGAAATATGACTACAGAATTGAGGATGCCAGAGAGGAAATATGGGGAAAGGGAGTAAAGAGGGTATGGACCTAGCAAACTATGGGGGAGGATTATAGATCCATTGGTGGAGGGTGTGATGTGGTGGCAAAAATCTGAAGAGGTATGAATCTGTACCCCTAAATAGATAATCAACAAGGCAAATGATTTCTGGTGTATTTGGATATTTTGGTGTCCAGTCCCACCAAAATACAAGTAAACTCCTTTTAACCATATAATTTCCTAATACTTGTGGAACAAAGCCAGGAAAGTCAGGGAAAGGCATAGGGAAGGAATATGGAAACAAGGGACCAAGGGACCAGACTGGTTTCCTAGTTGGCTTAAACTCCTTTTCTCCAGAGCCTGTTCAAACATTTTCCTATAGTTTGTTCATCATAGTCTTATGTTCCCTACCTGAAGGAGCAGCTTGGAGGAGATATGTGTGTCCACACACACAGGAAGTATATCCCACTTCCTTTCATCTAGAAATACATAGAAAAACTACATTCTGGGTAAGAGTAGGGCGTGCAAGATCCATGGCAGAAATGGGGTTATAATGATTAACAACTTTCAATAATTCTGGTAATATCATACTCATTTCCTAAATATTAACCACAAGTTATCTACAACCATAATTCACAAAGGTACTTAAATATATAAATCTCCTAGCATTTCTGCCTTAGCTCAGAGCCATCCTGAAGAGCCTGTTTGCAAAGCACATGCCTTATGTAAGTAGATACTGGCCCTGGCTAAAACTTGACCAGAAAGGGAGAGAGAAGGCAATGTTTTGCTAAAGAAACAAGGTTAAGATTTTCTTTTCTTTTCTTTTCTTTTCTTTTCTTTTCTTTTCTTTTCTTTTCTTTTCTTTTCTTTTCTTTTCTTTTCTTTTCTTTTCTTTTCTTTTCTTTCTTTCTTTTCTTTTCTTTTCTTTTCTTTTCTTTTCTTTTCTTTTCTTTTCTTTTCTTTTCTTTTCTTTTCTTTTTTAACATATATCATGTTTGAGCTTAAGGACCTCTGATTTAGAGAAAGAGATCAGAATATTTCTGAAGTGCAGAGGTTTTGCAAGGTTACCTGTCTCTTCTTGACTATTTCAAATGCAAAGCCTAAGTCAGGAGTCACTAGACAAGCAGTGCCAGGCTGGCTGCTCCCTTGTTCTACTGATAATTTGAAGGCATCATGGCCACCATTTACCACTAGCAATATGCAGCCAAAAGTGGTGGAAGAGTAACACATGGTGAAGAATGTGAAAAGAGCTAGATTCAAGTTGAAGAGTATGCCCCAGATAATGGTTCTCTTCTCCAGCTAATCCTGACTCTGGCCAATGCCAAATTTTTGGTCCACCTTCAAAATAACCTTGTCCTGTTTTGGTGAGAATGGATTTGTTTCCATAGAGCCTTGGTGAGATTTTGCTAACAGCTGAGGCTGATATTGGAAAAAAAAAAAAAAAAGAAGAATGAAATAAGAAAGGAAGGAAGGGAAGAAGAAAGAAGAGTAATAAATTTGTACAATTGCTCCTGGTTAATTTCTTAAAGATAGGAGAAGATTGTCACAAGGATAGATGGTAAATACCTGATTCCAGTCAACATTATACTCACTCTCTACTTCTTTCTTTTCTCTGGTACTTTCCTTCCTGGATTTATAAATATAGACAGAAATGAAGATCGCCCAGAAGAGCATTTAAAGTGATCTCCTTTTTTATTTAACAGATAAAAACTTGATTCCTGAGAGACTAAACTCAAGTCCATATTTTCAGATTTTCACCCGAGTGTCTGCCCCCACACCCCACCCCATAGTCAGCTGTGTCCTTTGTCTTCTCATCCTAGCACCACTCCCTACACATGCAGTGTTAGTCCTATATTTGTTCCTGTTGCTGCTGCTATATTTGCAACTTAACTTATGGATGCAAACATGGAGCCTCACTGATTTCTGGCAGAGCTCTGCCTCATGCACTGATGAGCACTCCCTGGCACTGGGCACCTGTCCAACAGCAGGTGCCTTGCTCGGTGAATGACTGTAGCTGCATCTCAAAGGAGGCAGGTTGAAGCTCAACACTGTCTTCCTGCTGCTTTGAGGTTATGATCTACCACCAGCACTTCTCTCACCAGGTGAAAGGAAGGGAGACTATGACTGCCAAGGTTAGCAACAGTAGACATTGGAGGTGGCCACAGGGAGCATCTGTACCAGCTTAAGGATTCTCAGCTTGACGGATGGATAAGAAGATAAGATGAGGCATTTGAGCTTGTTTACATAGGACTTATGTCCATGAACCTGAGTGGGTTGACCTTCAGGTCATGATGAAATGTCTGTGTGTTTTCTCAAGTTGAGAGCAAATAAAAAGGTGAGACTCAGAGGACCTGAATTTACATCATTAGAGGGCTCTTTGGGATAAGTTATTCTTGTTTAAGAATACACGTTTACTTTTGTGCATTCCACATTAATTTTGATGCATGTAGAATGTGTGTGGCAGTTTTAGTTATAGAACAGCAAATGGAAAGTGGTGAAAACAATTCAAAGTTTGTGGCATAATAACTTAAAGTTAATAAAAGATTATAGACACACAAAAGGAATGGTAGGACACATTATAAGATAGGCGGCATAATAGGTGTGTAAGGGCACTGGAAAAATTGTGCTTTAAAGACCCTAACATATTTGATAGAGGTGTAATGAAAGAAAATTTAAAAAAAATGACATGCTTGGATGAGGTTGACCTCATTGACTAGTGAGTCAATGATAGTAGTGCTTATGAGTGGTGATTTAATTTCAAAAACATTTAGGGAAATTAATCTGACAGCATATGCACGGTACAGTGAAAAGACTAAAAGTGAGAGACTGTGGGTTCAAATAAAAAAAAGTGTCAATCATCCAATAATAACTCATCATACAACCTAGAGTCATGGAAATGATAATGGGAGGTAAGGATGGATAGATATATGGATGGGTGGATGGATGGATGGATGGATGGATGGATGGATGGATGGAATACTACATAGAAATAATAAAGCACTCTGATGATGAATTCACTTTCTGAAGCCAAAGAGACAGAAGTAAGTAGGATGCACAGGTTAGATGTGAGAGAGATCTGACAGCAGCAAATTATATCAAAGGGTGCAACTTTTTTATATGATTGGCTCAGAGATTTTGATATTGATGAATAGGAAAAGAAACAGTGAGGAAGCAAAAAAATGTAAAATTTTTAGATAGAACAGTCTAAGAAATGGAAAAAAAAATATTCTGGTGAGGATAGCATCTGCATTAAGGGGACTCAGAAGAGAATGAGTGTAAAAATAGAGGCTACAGTTGTGAGTTAATGTTCAAAAACAGTACGTAAATTATATCCCAGTGATGCACATAAATCCACCCTACTAGGAATGAGACATAGACTGCCTTATTTCAAATCCCATCCCATGTTTTTTCTCTGCTTTTTCATTTACATGCAATACTTATTATCAAATTTTTGATAGAAAACAGGTTTACATTTTTCTGTATCCTAGGCTATAGAGTAAGTCTAGAGAGAGTCTCTACTAATTTTCTGCTCCAGCAGATTTGCTCTTCTGACCTGGAGAGGCCCGATTCCTCTGGATCTGTGAAATGGACCCTGCCTTGTAAAGTCCACCAACCTTTCTCTTGTTTTCACTCCTATAATTCTGTTCCTTTCTTCTTTATCTCCTTTTCTTATATCTTCAAATCTGTGTTCTGCTTGTGCTTGCATCCTCACTCATCATTTAAGAAGCTGGAAGGTTAATGCATCTGTTTATAATTGAAATAATGATCCTTTATATTTTTAGAGTTTCTGTAGTTCTCTAAGTGCTAGTGTGTGTTTATCTAATATGGCCTTCATGACAACCTGGCTAAGGTGAGTTAGCGAAATAATGAAGCCCATGTCACAGGTGGGAAACTGATGACCTCATAAAGAATGGATTATGAATGCTCATTGACATGGAAACTCACATTGTTATGCGTTCTCACCCAGTGTTCTCATCTGGTGACCACACAATGCACATAATCTCTCCCACAGAAAATCCCACAGGCCTCTCTATTCACAAAGTAAAATAGTCCTAAAGATCCCTGACTTCAGAGTCATACAGAATGGATAGTTTTAATTCTGCTATGGGGTTTTGCAAAGTCTACATAAACTCTCTTTTCTGTTATTTATTATTGAGATAACATTGGTTTACAACACTCGATAAGCTTTAGGAGTACAGTCTCACACCTTAATAAATGTGTATATACACTAAGCCAACCACCAAAGGTCTAGTGAGTCTCATCACTTGTAAAATTTTGGAAATAATACCCCACCATAGTCTTTATGTGAAAAGAAAATAAAATTGGTATAGAAACTGAATCGGGACCACTCAACAAAGGTCAACATCAATAAATCTTACATATTTATGTTCTAATTTAATATTTGATCATGAGATATCCTTTACAAGTGTTTCCTCTGAATTTCACATTTAGCCGCCTTTAAATATCCTTTTATAATAAGGGAGATTTGCATTGGGCAAATAAAGCATCTTTTCAGAAATGTGCACTTACAGAAACTGAAATAATAAATTTAGATAAGACAAGAAAGAGTACTATTTATTAAATATTCCCTAGTTAAAACAAGTTTATTTTAGCCTACAGGTTAGGTTCTTCATTCATGCTTTGGATTCCCTCCTTCTTCATTCTTCCCTTTCCCTTTAAGCCCTGGCACCTTGTGGTGTAGATCTTGCCACCTACACATCGAGAGGACCATGGGATTTGAAAGCCAACCTTGACAATAGAGAGGGAGGTACAGCAATCTCTCTCAAACACAAATACTTCCACTAATTACTGGCATTAACAGTAAAAAAGGAAAGTAGAAAATTACAGGCAAAGGGAGCATGAAATGTTCTGCTTGTTTCTCCACGGTCACAGCTTGACATTCCTTTTCATCCAAGGAAGAATGAATGGGACAGAGGATTCAATGGGCTTTAGTGCCTTCAAGAAATGCCAACTCTTAATCCAGGTTGTAGCCAGAGTATACACCTATGTCACATCTATGCTCTTTTCTCAGAAAGAGACCCACAGTGAAGGTGGTAGAAAGGTAGACAAAACTGAGCATAAGTTCTGAGCTCCAGTCAGGAAGTCCTGAGGTCTTCTAAGGAAGTGTGTCTATCTCCTGAATCTGGCCAGTGTGGCACTCATTTAGGAGGGGGAAGCTGTGCGCAAGTCACAGACTATTTAAAGAATCAATTAAAAGATGCTTTAGAGACTTCCGCTTTTAGGAAACAAAGAGAGATGAGAAAAGTTGTGGGGATGAGATAGGAAGGTGGAGTCCCACACATGTAAAATTCTTGTCAAATGGCTATGGAAGATTTGAGTCTTGCTCCGCTGCTCATTCATTTGTCAGTTGTAAATGAGCAAGATTCCCTGGGCCCCATGGGGAATGAAATAAAGATAATAGCTCTCCTAGAAGAGTTTTTGTGATGCTTTTGTTTTAGAATCAAAGACTTGTAGAACCAAAGGCAAACTTTGGGAACAGGGTTCAAACTGCTTTATTTCCCAGAGGAGACAACTGAGGCACAGAGAGGTGATGTAATTTGCACGTCTTTTTAAAGAGATCTATTAGTTGCCAAATCAAGACCAAAAACTTGACAGCCCTTTAACCCTGAGTTCAGTGCTCTTTTTCCTCTCCGCTCACTTCGTGTGGCTAAGGTATAGATAGGTTTTTTGTTCTAACTTCTTTTTTTCAAAGATTTATTTATTTATGCATACAAGAATGGGGGTACAGGCCAGAGGTTCCGGGGGTGAGAGGATTCACAAGAGACAGAGTGGGGAACAGAACAGGCAGATTGACTGAAATATACTGCTGAGGGGAGCAGCAGGCGAGTCAGGAGAGGTCTGCTGTACCATGTGGGTTGCTCTCTGGCCGGGAATCAAACTTGTGCTGCAGAGGTTGCTGTTAGCTTCATAGGTTGTGTCTTAACCCCTTGCACCATCAGGGAGGCCCCCTTGTTCTAAATTCTTTACAGATTAACTGATTTGTTTTTTTCTTTTCTCCTAAGGTAGGGAACACAGCAAAGATAAGAGGTCTTCTCTCTACCTGTTTTTGCTACTTCTTAATGCCTTTCATCACCTCAATCTGCCACACAGATTTTTTTTTTTTAATACTCACATTAGGGTGTTCCCTTGAAGCAAAACTCAAAGTTGTGCATGGCTACTGGAAGAAACCCTGGCAACTCTACTTATGAAGAGGGAGTGCTAAGGATTATGTATGTTCATGGTGGAGTTCCTGCTTGTTTCAGTAGCTCTTTTTATTAACCAGAAGGGTCCCCTGTCCAGTGAATCTCCACGGGAGGCAGTGTATCCTTGTGGAGCGTTCCCTCAGTGCCACATATTGGGAGCACTTCTGGGTTATATCCACTCGGTGTAAACTTCTCTGTTTTGGGACCCCAGATGTGCAGGCTTTTTATCTTTAATAAACATGGAAACAGATTTGAAGTCATAGTTATATCAGTTACGTGTCCATTACATTACAAGGGGTATCATTCTCCTTGTATGTTTTTCCATTATTTTAGTCACTTATTAGAATTTTAATAACTTTATTTTAGGGCCTCCCCGGTGGCGCAGCGGTTGAGCGCTGGGTTGCGAAGCTGCCCGCAGCCACTGTGGCGCCGGTTCAATCCCCGGCTGCTCCCCAGCCACCGGAGGAGGGTCCCATATGGCGCGCAGACCTCTCCTGCCGCCCGCTGCTCCCCTCAGCAGTGTCCTTCGGTCCTTCTGCCTGCTCTGCTCCCCGCTCTGGCTCTGGTGAGTTCTCTCACCCTCCCGCGCTTCTGACTGTACCCAGTGCTGGTATAAACAAAACAAACAAACAAAATAAATAAATAAATAAAACATGCCTCTATAAAAAAAAAAAAAAATAACTTTATTTTAATTGACATCTGTATTTTTTCCTGCAATATATGGGGATAATATGTTGTAAATATACACAAATTCTATTTTACACTCCTTTTGAATTAAACTCTTAAAATTTTTCCCCAAATAATTGATTTTGTATTTTTAGAATTTGGAGAAACAGGAACTTTTTTTTTTTTAAGATTTATTTATTTATTTATACGAGCACTGGTTTACAGTCAGAAGTGTAGGAGGGTGAGAGAATTCACCAGAGACAGAGCGGGGAGTAGAATAGGCATACTGACAAAGTACACTGCTAAGGGGAGCAGCGGGCGCAGCAGGAGAGATCTTCGTGCCATGTGGGACCCTCGCCCCGTGGCTGGGGATTGAACTGGTGCTGCAGAGGCTGTGAGCAGCTTTGCAGCCCAGCGCTCAACCGCTGTGCCACCGGGGAGTCCCACTTTTTTTTTTTTTTAACTGTGAATACACTACAAAGTTGTTTGGCAATGATATATTAGTAAATACTAGCAATCATCACAATAATTATATAATTCTATTTATCTGTTATAAAGACATTAGACCAGTCGGAATCCAGATGATCAAATTTACAGCACTTTATTATTAAAAGGAAAATGTTCCTAATTATCACATTCCAAAATATCAGTAAATATGATTGATTCTCATTTCTGATGTATGCTTAGAATAGAGGGATATATTCATAATAATTGTATCATATTATAATTTTGCAAAACAATAAAACACAATATCTTTAATGTTTCCACTCACTTTGTGATGGATTAAAAGATAAAGCTTTGAATCTCTGATATCCTCCTCTTTTGTTGGCAATATACTGAGATAAATTGACTGTCAGATCCATGTGTGTTCATTTCTTTGATAACCTGTGGCTTCTGGATACCCATACTAACCTTTGGTATGTTCTGCAATATTGTGAGTTGATGTTGTTCCCTATGATAAATACATCCAGGATTGAGTGGTTAAACCTCAACATTGCTGAAAGGGAAAACCAATAAAAGCAGGCAGGGTCTTAGGTAAAGCTTGTTGAGATCATATAACAAGCTGTAGATAAGTAAGTAGAAGAAGCAAACATTGATTTAAGCCAGAGTACTGAAAAATGATCTTCTAAAGATTGCTAAATATTGCTGTGTCTGGGGAGACATCTGAGTAGCCTTAGACTTTGGGCCAAAACCCTTACATGCTTTAATTAGTGTATACCATGCATACAACTTGAAAATTTGAAAATAATCGATGGTCCTTATCCCTTTCATCTGCCCCATATCTTGTTACCTTGGCAACAGGTAAGATAGGATTTTAAGAATTGCCAGAATTATCATAACAGTTCATTTCAAGAATGTGCTTCTGAGGGAATCAACTTTAAAAAAGATAAAAGGAAACCAAAGATAAGCTCAAGCATGTTGAAGGATCAGCATTTCTCAGTCATAGGGTATTATGAAAACTGCCCCAGAGCTCCTTGTGCTGGCCTTCAGATGCTAGGCTCTGCTCAGGTCATTAATATGTAGAAGACTCATTCCATTCTTCCCACTCCAGGAATGGAGTGTCCATGGGTCTTCTGTAGACTGTGTAGAAGGAAGAGAGGAGGAACAATAGGAATAGAAAGGGGAGGGATATGATGAAAGAGGAGGATATATTGAGGGAAGTGATGGTGGAGGTGGTGATGCTGGGGAAGCTGCCAGAGAAGATGATGAGGGAAGAGGAAGGAGAGGAAGAGTAGAACTAAGATTTAACAGGCAAGAAGAGGAAAATTATTTATTAGTTGGATCAATTCCCTTGTTCAAGTTATATGAATAGAGGTAAATGTAGTTTCAGAAGTCTAATCCTTTCACTGTAACACTAAGTGTCCAAATATATGCTAAGCGTGACCTTCAGAAAGTGTCTGGAGCTCAGAATATGGCTCTGTTCACCAGAATAAAAGATAACATGAATTGATATTGTTTAAAAGAATGTGCACCCAAACTTCTGGAATAT